AAACCAGACATAGACATTGACTCTCCATCTGGAAAGATCAACTGGCCCAACTTTAAAAAGCCAAAGGTCAAGGCAAACGGCCCTGATGTTGACTTAAATGCTGATGTTTCTGCCCCTGATCTAAAACTCTCAGCTCCAAATATTGATGGTAACATAAACACTCCGGACTTGCAAAATCCCAAGTTAGACATTGATGTTCCTGATGCTGACGTAGATATCCCGCATGGCAAACTCAATTTTTTCAATTTTAAGAAGAAAAAAGTACCAAAAGCTGACTTTGACACTGATGTCAAGGTGCCAGATGTTGACATTAAAGGGCCAGAGGTGGATTTGAATTTACCAGATATGGATCTATCAGCACCTAACATTAATGCCAAGGCACCAAAAGCTGAACTGGATGCCCCTGATGTCAACATGAAATCTCCAGATTTGGATATCAACCTGCCAAAGGTGGACCTGAAAGCACCTGATGGGCAGCTTAAAACGCCAGATTTAGATTCAAACCTTGGGGATTTTAAATTGCCTCATTTAAAATTTCCAGCACTTGATCTTTCAAGTCCTAATGCAGAAATTCCAGAGGTCCATGCAACCGGGAAGGCTGGAATTGAGGCCCCAAGGTTAAACACAGGCAGTCCTGCAGCTGATGCTAGCCTTTCTGTTCCATCAGTGGATCTGAATGGACCAAAGGTAGAAGGAAACAAAGTAGAAATTAAAGCTCCAGATGTAGATGTGGGTGTTGAGAAGTCTAGGTTCCCACATTTTAGGATGCCAAAATTCAGCTTTACACAATCTAAAGCGAAATCTGGAGAGATCAATGCTGGTGCCAATTCTGAAGAGGATGATGAAAATGGTGATGACTCTGACAATGATGCTTCAAATGTTGAAATGGATGTTCCTTTGTTCAAATTCCACCGTCTGCCAAAAGCAAGCCTAGACGGAGTTGGTGAAACTTTTAATCCAATTGGCTTATCCAAACGGGATAGTGGGGAAAAGGACTTTATCATAAGCAAGGGGGTGAAGCTGCCAATAAGTAACGCATCAAAAACAGTGGGCAAGATCGACCTTTTCGAGAAACTGAAACTGGCGCAGGAAAAAAAACCCAGTGCCTCACCTACGGATGAGAAAAATGCTAATCTGAAACTTGCTGCTCCAAGTCTTGACGTCAATGTCTCTGGAGATTCCTCTCTGGGAGTGGGGAGTGCTTTCAAAACGGAAAAGCCAGAGTATTCCGATGAAAATCAAAAGCTGGATTTGGGTCTCTCTAACATGCTTGGTCTTAGTACTGATGATCCAGATGCTGTCTGATTCTTTGTTAAAAAACTAGGTTTCAAACTTTAACTGTTGTGAATAGATCCTAAACCAATGCCACATACCGGTATGTTTGTAGTCAGATAATAGAATCTTTTTTTATTATATAAGCTAAATTTGTATTTATTTGTACAAGCTTTTTTTGCTATACTTTTTATTCAGAAAATATACTTGGTAAAGTGCATGTGATCACAGTAAGCTTCAGAGACTATTTTACTGTTTTAACATTTTAAATAAGTTTGTGAATGTATTTGCCATTGTTGCTCAATAAATCAATGAAATGCCCTTAAGTCTGTGTGATTTCAAATGCTTTAGATCAAAACAATGAGACTGGCTGGACCTAAAGTAAATTTGAAAACTATTTACAAGATTAATATGGTGTTTGCTTTTTTTTTTTTTTTTTTGCCGTTCTCGAAGACAGACAGGGTTGCTTTAAAGGGGGGAACAAATGTCTTTTATTTTACTACAAGCATCATTCGGAAGACACAAACTCTATTAAAGGACTTCAAGACCAACAGCAATCGCAATTATGGAGTTTTGAAAATTCAAACTTGGGAGTTAATAAAACTTAAAACACAAAGTTTTAGCCACTAGCAAATGCTTTACATGTAGCCTCCTGGTTTGGCCCCCTGAAGGGCTTGG